GTGCCCTGCCTTCGCAGACCTCGCTGGGACGTGCCGTCCTCTGCGAAAGTGCCCGCTGCTGTCGTCTGCTAATGAACGAGCTGGGAGCCGGCTGCGTGTGGCTCCGAGCCGCACGCGTGTCTGGGGGCTGCCTCAAACAAACCCCGTTCCAGAAATTAATAGATTATCTTCTCTGTGCCAAGGCTTCCATGAGCAGGGGTGACAGCAAGAAACTCTGTCATTCCTCTAGATTCTGAAACTGGGAAGCTGTCCAGGAAATATTAGAAGTTAGACAGCCAATAGCTGTGTTTGTCTTTTGTTGTCCAAGGTGTAAACAAGCAGTGGGAAAAGCGCACAGTCTGGGTATTTCGGTGCACAGCCCGATGCCAGGGCGCTTCCGCCAGTCTTGACTGAATGCTAGTCATTTAACAATATTTCCCTGACTGTAAATATTGCTTCCAAAAGCAGAGCAGGACCTTCCTGCTTTTTGATTTGAAAGCCTTGCCACTTCCAGGCTTTCGGCAAAGATGGGAACAAAGGTTTGCCCTGGTTTGAAAATGAGAACTGAGTATGGGAATGCCAGTAAAGAGTAAGAACTGCCATGACCGTGTGTTGATAGAGAGTTACCTTTGGGGAAACAGGTGTGTGGGGACAGGGCAGGGCTCACTTTCTGGGTTTTACAGGAAAAGTTATAATAAGATGGGGAAACAAATGCTTTTTGCATGCCCAGGAGCAGCATCTCGCCCTTGCAGAGCAGCGGGCTCTGCTCGATCAGTCTCTGTGCACCCAGGTTTTGCACATGGCCGTTGCAAGAGGCGTCACACAGATTTCTGTTAGAAATCTGGGCACTCAGAATGTGTTTAGCATGAGTCTGAACCTTGATTTTCCAGGTCACTCCTGTGCCAAAGGAGGTTATGTCACAAATCTGCATCAAGTTCTAAACTACTGAGATAAAGCGTGAGATGGCCGTACGTGTGGGTGTAATGGTGATGTTGCTGATGTCTCTGTAAAGTAAAATTCTTTTGTACAATGACTGAACAACAAACATTGTTTGAAAGTACGTCGTAGACTCCGTCTTGAATGTGTACAGATGACAATTAATGGGAATGCTGCTGGGAAATAAGGTGCTTCAGTGAATCTCCTAAGCATAGCTATGTTGTATTGGTCAGTGGGTCACGCAGCCTGCTCTGTTTCAGACTTCTTCAGACGTGAGATAGGCAAGAGCCACTTATTTGGAAAATAGAGGACAAGCACACTATTAATACGGAATATACACCAAGAGTCAGGTTTTTTTTTGTGCTTCTTTCATCGTCTTCTACTCTTCATTAAACTGACATTTAGTTTGGTAGATGCAGTGGTCTTACTTCTGAGGAGCAATTCTAATTAGGAGCTGATCAAGAGATTTCTGATTAAAGGCACGTTTGATCTTTGGTTTTATTGAGCATTTCCAAAAGAGAAATGATTGTTACAACCTCTCTGCTGCACTTTGTAGTGTACCTAAATTGCTACCTATGCCTAAGCCAGAGGTTTGGTTTTTCCATAGTTGTAGAGTGTTTGGTAACCTCATTAAAATAAGTAGACCCTCCATGTCCAAAAAGCTTTGTTATATTTATGTGAAAATAAAAGGGGACTATTCAGCATATGAGGGGGACATTGGGAGTAAAATTTAAAGACTTCAAAGTATGTTATAAGGAAGAAAAGAGCGCTGAGGCCCTGCACACTCCAGGTAGATGTGTAAGATTGCTTTTTGTGGTTGCACAGGGCTGTGCACAAGAGCTCTCCTGTGGTAGTTGGTAGTGGATCCCAAACAAAGTAGTTGCAGCAGCTGCCCTTCCTCCATGTAAATACCATGATCCTAATCTATGCTAATTTCCTAAGTTAATTTCAGCTTATATTTTATGTGACAGTCTAATGGTTTCTAAGGATTGTACTTGCACGCATCAGCCTTGCAGCAGTATCTGCTCACGTGGGTGTAATTTATGAAAGAGTTGATCTGCCTGTGAAGGAGCAGAGCTGGGGTTTCATCCTTCGTTGTGCGGGAAGTGGAGATGGATCTGCTGCCTGGGAAGGAGCAGAGCCGGGGTTTCGTCCTTCGTTGTGCGGGAAGTGGAGATGGATCTGCTGCCTGGGAAGGAGCAGAGCCGGGGTTTCATCCTTCGTTGTGCGGGAAGTGGAGATGACGTGGCCACTGGGCTCCCACCTAATTCCCTGCGTGGGGAGAGGCCCTGGGGCTCGGGCAGTGCCCGGAGACGCACTGGGTCTGGGTTTGTTCCCCGCCTCTGTCGCACATGTCCCGTATAACTGCGGCAGCTGCTGTCTCCCGACGTCTCAGACCTCCAGCTGTGTGAAGGTCGAGGTCTCAGACCTCCAGACGTATGAAGATCGTTGTCAAGCATCGCGTTGTTCAGGATCAGTTTTCAGCCCCGGATCCGATTTCCATCCAGAAAAGGCAGGAACTTCTGCTGGCGTAAGCTAGGGAAGTTACACGGACCAGGAGAAAGCTCAGTTTTTCCAGGTTTGTTCCGTGGAGCCCCTGGTGCCTTCCCCGTCAGCCTGAGTCCAGATGGTGGCACAGCCTGGGGTGCGTGCAGAGCCGGAGCCGTTGCTCCGGCCCTGGCGTCCTGGAGGTCCCGCAGCCTCTGGCAGCTCCAGCACGCACCCGTTCCCAGTGGGACCACACTCCTAGCACGTGCTGGTGGACTGCGCAGCCCACATCTGAACAGCCTGTTGTCTGTCTTCATCTTGACAATTGATTTTATTCGGTATTATCAGCTGCTGAAAGCTCTTCATCCTCTGAAGCGCCGCAGCGTTCAGCCTCCAGGAGATGTGCGGGGTCGGGGATGTCGTCAGTAGCTTTGTTCTGGAGGAGGTGCTCCGAAGTCCTCGTTCCATCGTTCGTGGTCCTGCTCCAGCTGCTGCTCTGTGCGGTAGCGTGGCGCATTTCTCTCCCGCGCATCAGTGGAAGCAGGACACTTTTTTAGAACGCTTCCAAGGTTCAAGCCAGTGTAAAAGAAGAAAATCTCTCCCCTTCTCACTCACCCCACTGCCACAATTCATTTGTTTATTTTTAAAAAATAGGGGGGGGAATCACTCAAATGAACTAATCATATGACAGAGTTATTTTGGTACGTGGAATGCAGTTTATTTCTGGCTTGTCAATGCTTTAATTAATTTCAGTCTGTTTCTAAAACAGAAGTGAAGTACATAATTGATGTGAATCTCTTAGAAGTTGTCCTCCCATCTGCACAGACTGAAGCGAAGCGGCATGGGCGGTGTAGCTTTTGAAGGCATTAAAGAAATTATATGATTCTGGATTAATGCTGACTTCTGATTAATATTGTTAGGTGGCAGTAGAAAAGAATATGATAACAGCTGGAAAGCCATAGATCAAATAATATCTTCCCTATTGTCATGTTTCTATACTGAGACACGCGTTGTTAGGTTTACGCATAAAAAAGAATATCTTGATTTTTAAGTGTTTAACGCTCAGCCTCGGATTTTATGCCTAGGAATAATCAGGGGAGTAGAAGGGAGGAGAGGCAAATGACAGCTTATTTGTGGTTAAAGACCTACATGAAATATCATGAGCTGGAGTTACGGAGTGAAAAGCCTTGGTTGAAAGCAAAGCCGACCAACCCCTCCACGTAGTCCCCATAGGCTTTGAGACCGTTGTTAGATCAGGAAGAAAGCTCTTTTCTGGGCTACCCCGGTAAAACTCACTGCTCTGAGCTTTTCATCTTCTTTGGTGAGAATTACGTACATCCCTTGTTGCACTGCGGTCCCTGGCTACCTCCAGGAGAAGCTCCAGGTCACCTCTGCAGGCAGAGCTGTTCCTCTCCAGTTTGGCAGTGGGCCATCCAGGCTCCTTTTTACCAGCTGCTCCCAAAAGAAAAGTCTGATTTGTTCAACCCTCGCCCTCTTTTCCGTCGCTCCCTCTCCCGCAGGAGTCTCTGTGCAGTGCCCAGGGTGCTCTCAGCACCGAGCTCTTCGTTAGTGATTTTTTCCCACTGCGGTGGCAGGGAGGTCAGGGTGTGACGCGTGTAACGAAAGCCGGTGGAGCAATGTGCGTGGTCTTACCAACATGACTGATTTATGCAGCTTAATTGCTGCACAAAATATGCAAAAGCACTTGAGGTCATTTAGAAGAGCTGGGGTGTTTACAGGAAAGAAAAAATAGAGCCTGAAAAAATAATTACGCTATTTTTTCTTCACATTAATGGCTGTGCAGAAGAGCCTTTTAAATATGTCCATATATGGGTTTTAAGCATTCGTTCCTCATCAGCATTTCTCCTTTTTCCTTAAGTGATTTCTATATTCCTACTAACCAACAATCATTTTGTCTGAATCTCATTTCCTCATAACAGCAAACCCATCAATCTCTGCTTTATTAAACAGGGAAGCATGCTTGGAAGCCGGAGCGCTCAGATTTGATCAAAGATGTTATGCAAACCATTGATTTTAATTTACAGCAATATCCACTTCTTCCATTATTAACAGCTTTGAATTACTGAGACTGAATAATTAACAAGTATTCCTGTGTGATGATGGGTTATCCAAAAGGCAGATGTATAGAAACACAGCCCGGTGAGCACCCTTCCCGCTGCCCCGGGATGCGTGTGCCGGTTTCACGTTCCGCAGGGGAGCGACACGACGCGGCACAAGAGAAGGACTCGTTGGAGAGGTCTCCCAAGCGCTTCCGAAACTGTTGTGACGCCGGGTGTCGTTGCTTAGCAAATCCAGCTGGAATTCGGGGTGGGTTTTCGCTCGGCCGCCGGCCGAGGCGCTGCGGGGGGGAGTCGGCCGGGCAGGGCTGGGCACCAGGGAGGTGTCTGCCCCTCTGTGCACGCTGCGGAGCGCAGGCGCGAGGGGCTCGAATGACGCAGTGAGGAGAATTGTTTGGGAACAGCAGAAGGACGGGCACAGCTAGATAAGGCGAAATATAAATCTCGCTCTCTGCCTGGCTCTGTGTAAGCTAAACCATCGTCATCCTCGTTACCGCTGCTCCGTCACGTGCGTGCTGCCGTGCTCGCTCGGGGGAAAAGGGAACATCTTTTGGGTGGTGTTGCTCAGCGTAGTTTGACATTTCTTCTCGCGGGTGCAGCCGTGGAGCGATGTCAGCCCGTTGTGAAGGCTTGTTTGGACAGCGAAGCTGCCTTTGATCCCGGCATCCCCATTGTCCCTGAGGCTTTTCAATCCACCTGGTACCCAGCTCGCAGGCCTGTGGCTGAGACCTGCCTTGGAAGTTGCTTCTTGTCCGTTTCTGCTCAGTCTTTATGGTGTCTTCTTCTGCTGAGGAACTTTGTTGGTGAAGGCTCCAGCATTCGGTTGTGCTCAGAGTGCTGATGCTTGGCACGAGTCTGAGCTGCCCCAGCTGCGCCGCAGCCCTCGGCAGGAGGAGGGCACGTGGTGGGCTCCAGCAGAGGAGAATCGCCCTGTGTGTCCCGCGGTGCGTGGTGCCCACGGGGAGGAACCCCCTCACGGTGGGCTCCAGCGGAGGAGAATCGCCCCGTGTGGTGCGTGCTGCCCACAGGGAAGGACCCGCTCCTGAAACACTTCACTGCAGGGCAGGCTCATGTGCCAGGAGCTCCCAGCTCCCTGCCTCCCAAATCTGCAATGTGGGACCTTAGTACTGGGAAAAATGCGGTCTTCCAGATCAGAAGTACACCGAGATGGATGGGCGAGGGGGAGAGTGATTTCTAGAAGCAGGGGAGAAGTGACATCCTTTTCTAGGAGCAGCCCTGTGGCCAGTGACCACTGAGTTCTGTAGGGCAGCTTGGGATTTTGGTGTTAGGATAAGGAATTGGGTGCCAGTTGCCTTTCGTCTGGAGGAAGGAGCCTCTGTATGCAGTTTGGGGTGGTCACTGGTGACTGAGAAGCACTGAAACTGATGCCGTTTGCTTGATTTTTCATTTAGCCTGGTACTGTGAGACCAAGGAGGAAAGCTGCCTGGAGACAGCGTTCACCACATGCTGAGAGTTTGAAAGACAGGCCAGGGAGAGGGAAAGCAAAGTAATCCACCAAGAGCTATTCAACAGAAGCCCACTGCGACACAGACCTCTGTGGCACGACAGATGGTGCAAGGGAGGCGTTGCTCTCTGCGTGTAGGCATTTCCTCTCCTACAGACCGTTGTCGGAGACAGGGTGATGGATGAGGCAGATCCTTTTGATTGATAGGGATTTTCTTCTGCCAGATGGGAGGAAGTATGACTGGACCAGTGTAGGCAAATTGCAGGCAGCAATTGCAGTGTGATTGCAGGAGCTGCAGACACAAAATCCACTCGTTGCAAGCGTTGTCCAAGAACTAATGACCCAAGGCATCAGGAAGCAGCGCTCTCCAATAAAAACTGGGAAAGCCACGTTCAGTTCAGACAGAGCCTTGTCTACATTTCTGAATGCACCGAAGGGTTTGCCCAGAGCTACAGCTTCTTGGAGCCTTAATTGCCATCACTGAAGTTGTGCTAAGTTCAGTAGACAACTCTTTCTAATTAAGTGCAAACTCTTTCAGATGCTGAATAAAACCGCATCTTGACTTTGCCTTTCTCCTGTCTTAGCATCTGTAATCGGCTTGCACAAAAACAAGTGTCTTGCTGGATGCGAAACCCGGGCTCCGTCTGAGCCCTTCAGCGCAGCCCTGGAGCCCTTCCTGCGTTAGGCAGGGTGGGTTCGCTGACGTCGGCGCTGAGAAACGCCAGGGCCAAGGAAGCACTTGTGCCGTTGCCGTCTGGGCTGGGACTGTGCATTCCAACGCAAGACAAAGCCCGCTTCTTTACCGGGCACCCTTCTTTGCCACCTGCACCCCCTCTCCTCCTCTCCTGCTACGCTGGTACCCCAACAGCCGTCTGCAGAGGGACATGTGCCTGGCAGTGCTCAGGGACGTTTTCCCTGAAAACCTTGCAGAGAGGTGGGATGCACCCAGCTGTCCACGCCACCTGAGATTTATTACTCTCCTGGTTTTAACAGAGGAGCTTATCTCGAACTGAAAGCTGCCTGTGCTCTCGCAGGTGGGACGGCACTGCTTGGCACAGGAGCACTCTTTACGGAGCTAGGATACTGGGACCTGCTGCCTGGGACCCCTTTCTCGTTACAGCCAGAGAGTTGCGCTGGTTTTTGAGCCAGTGCTTGTCTGCCTGGTGCTACATTTTTCCACGAAGCTGGTGTGAGGCCAGGGCATCTCCTTTCGTCGTCTTTGTTTGCTCATAAACTTCCTCGCCTCTGGATGAATCTGCCCAGTGATGGATCTCCTTGTAAAACACTGAAGGCCAAGGAATTCCTGCGATACTGTTTGTGCTTGATGTGAAGAGTCCAGCTTCAGCAGGCGGCCATCTGACCCCCCGGTGCAACTGGCAGCAGGCAGAAAAGCCATACTCAAAGTGGCATCGCTCTTGGGGACAAAAAAGGAGATTGTGATTGAATGGGCGTTCCGCAGGCTCAGGGTGAAGTCGCTCACAAGAAGCTCGTTAAAATGGCACAGGTAGGGAAGGCAGGGCCTCAGCGGTCTCTAAGCCTTTTTAGCTTTGTCAAAAGCTGGAGAATTCAGTGAGATAAAGTGTGAAAGTCTGGAGTGTATTTAGTAAATAATAAATGACCCCAGAGGAAGTCAAACAGAATAGCAGGTCAATTTTTAAACAGCCTGAACAATCTCCCAACGTTAATCCTGGGTGCTGAGTACCAGCTCTGTACGCGCTGAAGACATTTCCCTGCTGAATTAGTGTCAAGTGCTGCTCTTAGTGCCAGTCTACGTCTCGCCACACGTGATAACACGAACAAACACCCGTTCTCACCCGTGTAGTGCAGCAGGGAAAGTTACACAAGCAGGCGAAGGTTTAGGATGCATTTTGTTCTGGATAAATAATTAGAAATGGACTAAAAGGAAAAGTGGCTTAAAATTTAGTAATAAACCCTATTTCATAATGAATTGAACACTATTTATTGCATGCTGTGTGTTACCTTCCTGCTTTGCAGGCTCCAAAAAAAAGCCCAACATTTTTTGAAACAGTTAACAAGATGTTTGTAGAAATGCAGGCTTAAAATATGTCCAGCATTGTGTTCTCATGTTATCCGTCCTTCTTCTTTCTTTTAATCATATGGAAGAAATTATTGGTGTCAGAGTAAGGGGAAATCGGGCACCTCCTTTTTAAAAAAAAATATTTTATTTTCCCTAATTCTGCAAAAGTTATGAAGTGAAAAAAAAAATTAAAAAAGCCAGACTGCCTCTTCTGCTGGGGCTCCGAGTGAAGCGAAGAGAGAACAAGGGAAATGATTGCGTAGAAGACTTCAAAATCTGAGATGCAAAATGCTCATCTTGAGGAAAACCTTGGAAAAAAATGAAAGCAAACCAAAATATTTCCACATAGAAAATAACGTTATTTACTGAGATGACAGGTGAACGAGGACATTTTCATCCAGAGGGTCCGAACTGGAAGGGACCTTCAGGAGTGGGGCTCTGCGCCCCGACAGACGCGGACGGCCGCGGGTGCTGCCG